TAGACACCATGGGAGAATAAAATTTAGTTAATTTAGTAAATTAATTTTCTGTAAGCTCATATTTAAAAAATAAGCATTCAAATCCTACAAATGATTAAGTCAAATATTTAATCAATTACAAAGTTAACAAATTTTCAAATGAAAATGCAAAGAAATTCTAAATTTATAATTAAATACCATTAAAAATAGATGCGTGAAATAAAAATCTTTCTGTCAACTCGCTTATAAAAACTCTAAATATGGAATAAAAATTGTAATCCTATAGTATTCTTTAACATCTAAATTCCTTGCATTATCTGAACATGATTTTTTTTTTTTTTTTTTAAAAAAATATGTAAAAACGTATATGCAGTATTTTCATTTTTTTCCTTTTACCTTCCATTTTTAAGAATTATTGATTTTAATAACTATTAAGTTACTCACGCTGTTTTGTTTTAAAAATGAGTAACGGAATAAAAAATAAATATTAAACAAAAAAAATCGTCAGTCGTTTATTCGAATTATAATTCACAAATCACAATTACATCACTTATGAAAATATTCGTGAAACATTGACAGAGCCCGAAATACTAAAAGAGGACGGACCGATGGCGATCGGTGTCCGGAGGGTCTTTATAAATATTCCAATAATCGGATAATATGGAAATTCCATCAGTTACTTATAGCGCGTATGTTGTTGGATAATTTATTTAGTAACCATTGACCTATTCACAAGTTAATAGATTTATGATAGTAACTTATATTATCTTTGTTATGTACAGCTGGCATGGGGATTCGGGTTTGTTTTATTTCTATAGAATATACTGTAGTATGTTCCAATGATGATAAAAAATACTAGTATTAAAATAAGTATCTAAATATGTAAAAATATTTAGCTTCCCTTAAATTTCGACAAATCTCAGTTTATTTTTGTTCAAATATTTCATTAAATGTCTTACGTGAAAATTAATTGAATATGAACTATATTTGTACGGTAATGCAATAACTGATGTGTTATAATTTGCAGATATTACAGTTAAATTGTTGGTATTTGAAGATAATGTTACGTACACAAATGGTTTATCCTAGGGTTTATCGGTCATTTCGATTAGATAATTTAATATTTAATTATTTTCAATTCAAATGTAGTTATTGTTGTATAAGTATCTATTTATACAACATTAGATTTCGTATAAGCTATCTGTATGTTCGATTGAGAAAATATCCAATTAATGTTCAAGAATTGTCTAATAATTAGAAAATTCTTGAATATAAATGATTTAAATCAGTAAAATATTGATTAATGGTTATTAACGAATAGCCATGCATTTTCATATTCCTACATACCGTATGAAGCATTTACATCATATCTTAATATACACTGGAAAGAGACACTTGGAATTTTCTTAGGTCAAATATAATCCTAAAAATTCCAAAATCTTGGTTACTTTCGTGATTAACGCTTCACCATAGAAAATAAACAGGTGTTTGACCCCAAAACGAATAATTTCAATAGCTAATTCTTTTATAATTTTTTTGTTTAATTTACCATGTTCAATAATATAATGATTTTAGTTGTTGATGCTTGGATTACGTACAGATGATTTATATTGTCATGTGACCACGTGTGTAAACACAAAAGAATTTTTTTCCCGTATACTGTGTATCGATATAAGCTAATAAACAATAATGTTGACAGAGAAAAAAATAAAAATGAGGTCTGGTCTTTTGAACACTTATTCCAATAATGTGAAAACAAAAATAATTAATGTAAATCTGTGTTATAATATTGAATAATAGGAAAAAATAATCAGTAATAATAATAATATGATAATAAAAGAACTTTTGCGTCGGACGCAACGATTACTGTTCGACCTTTTTAAATTCAGTATGTTCAAACGACGATAAGTTCTCCATTAATTGTTTTTTCATCGATTATGCTTCGTGATTATCCATATCTAGTATATATACTCATATATTACAATTGTGTGTTAAAAAACACTAAACCCGTCGTCTGTTTTTCCCCATACTGTTATGGTGTACCGACAAAGAGAAATCTGCTTTCGTCGTATATTGCTAACGATTTACTATCGTATGTATGTATATAGATAGGTATACGGTATCCAGTAGGTACAGTTATTTTTGTGAAAAAACTATTTGGTACTAGAGAAGAATCATGATTATACCGATTTGTCTGATTTCCAATTTTTCCCAGAGTTGACAGCCACCCTTTCTCTTTTGGAATAGATTAATATATATGTACAACTTTTTACTTCCGATTCCATTAGGACGAGAACAGGTTAACAAGGAAATTAAACAAACTCGATATGCATACCGTATCGAGATAAAGAAAACAAAATCGAAATTGCAGTGTTTTTTTTTTTTTATAGGTAGTAAACCTTGGACGTCGCGTGGCAGAGCTTTTAGCTGCAGACAAGCGCCAGGCGAGCGTGACACCTTGTCAGTCATTAATCTCTTTTTAAGTGATTTTCGTCATAGTTTGACAGAGTTACAAGTTAAAATATTATATAAAAGCGTCGCAAAATGATTTATGGTAGTGGTAACACAACGTGTGGTCACGCTACTGCTTCTCCTCGGAGAGAAAATAAAAATCGGTAACATGCGTCCGCACTAAATTACCATTGCTTATACATGTTGATTATACGCGGTTGGTTGAAAATAATATACAATCTTGAGGGGATTATAAAGAATGTATTTGTTGTCGGCATCGTGAATTTTATTTATCGTTTGACTTTATATCGAGTACATATATGTAACCAATTTTATAAAATTATGATAACGAATCGGGTCCAGTTGGTTATCCATAGCATTTTATTTTAATAATATCGTCTTACCGTCAGGATTAGAAGGTTTCGGCGATCGTTCGATATTTTTTTCCCGACGACTTGTATATATTAATCATATAACCCGATTTTGCATGAAATATACCTTTGTGTAGCAAGTATGTTCACGAATAAATTCAAAATATTTTTGTTGACTATTCGTTTGGGTGCGTGTGTGTGTGTGTGTGTGTGTGTGTGTGTGTAGGGTTGCAAAAATGACATCATAATATATTACGTATTATATTCATGTATCTTCCCCGCATCCGGCGTGATATCATCGAATCGACCGGCGGACCCAAAACTATTTTTATTATTGTATGCCACGTATACATATATACTCGTTTACTCGTAATAAAAGTAGTAATATTATTAATACACATTTTATTATTAGAAACGACGTGTATCGGGCCCGCGTTTTTTATGTGTAAAACATCGTCGTCCGTATATGATGGTTATTAAAATATGTATGTAGGTGACGTGTATGCAGGCGCGCGACGGCTGGCGGCAGCCGCGTTACGTGACTGCATAGCACGTCTAGACACGTCGGCGTCGCAGACAAATACGTTTTCTCCCCTCTCGCTATCGTGCCACCCCTTGACGATGGCCTTCGGTGACTCGTCTCGTCGCCATCGTCATCGTCGACGACCAACCCTCTCGTCCCGTCACTCGATCGCACCAACCGCCGCCGCTCCTCCACACGTTCGTGTACATGTTATGTGTGTGTACGCGTGCAGCAACCCTTAACCACGCACCCGTCACACGCACGTATACGATCACGCGGCTGCTATGGCTATTGCCGCCCGAACAGCGCCGAGTCCTTGCGCGATCGCGACTGTTACACGCGCTAACCGCCTCCGGTCACGCAACCGTTGCGCCGCCGGGCACGTCCCGTCGCCAAACGCGAATCGACGCCGTCGCCCCGTCGTTCTTGTTGTACCTGTTTTTTGTATTGTTTGTTCCTATTGTCCCGTTTGATTATAAAAAACAATGCCAACCGTATGTGTCTCGCGACGGCCAATAACGACGGTGTAACGTTTTGTTAGCGCGCGCCCCCCCCCCCCCCCCCCCCCCCCCCCCCCCCCCCCCCCC